ATTTATGCAGAATATATATGCATAATATTTATGCAGAAAATTCAGAGTGTGGAAATTAAGAGAAGTGTGGAGTTAATAAAAGTGTTAGTCGGAGGGCTGAAGAGGGGTTGTTGAGGTGGTTTGGTCATTTAGAGAGAATGGATCAAAGCAGAATGACATAGAGAGCGTATAAATCTGTAGGGAAAGGAAGGTGGGGGAGGGGTCGTCCTCGATAAGGTTGAAGGGAGGGGATAAAGGAGGTTTTGTGGGCTAGGAGCTTTGACTTCCAGGAAGCGTACATGAGCGTGTTAGATAGGAGTGAATGGAGACAAATGGTATTTTGGACCTGACGAGCTGTTGGAGTGTGAGCAGGGTAATATTTAGTGAAGGGAAGTATCCTTGGCCCTCTTCTCTTTCTCATTTACATAAACGACCTACCAAATGCATCGCAACTACTCAAACCCACGCTATTTGCAGATGACACTACATACGTCTTCTCTCACCCAAGCCCAGTCACACTAGCCAATACTGTAAATACCGAGTTACAGAAAATATCTACCTGGATGATGATTAACAAACTTACTCTCAATATTGACAAAACCTACTTCATTCAGTTTGGAAACAGAACTACAGATGTTCCTCTTAACATAATGATAGACGGATCACTTTATCACAAAGCTCACAGAGGGAAAATTCTTAGGAATCCCCCTTGATAATAGATTCAAATTTCAAACAAATGTACAACAAATTTCCAAGAAAATCTCCAAGACCGTAGGCATACTATTGAAGATACGGTACTTTGTTCCACAGTCAGCCCTCCTGGCCCTATATCACTCACTCATTTACCCCTATCTCACCTATGGAATTTGTGCATGGGGCTCAACAACAATAAATCATCTCAGACCATTAATTACCCAACAAAAGGCTGCAATCAGAATGATAACAAATTCCCACTCCAGGCAGCATACTCCACCAACATTCAAAACTAAACTTACTCACCATGCAAAACATCCATACTTATTATTGTGACTACTACATACATAGAACACTAAACTCGAATATAAACACCCCCCTCAAATTTCTCCTTACCAACCTCAACAGAAGACATGACCATAACACAAGGCACAGATCACTCTTTGATGTTCCTCATATCCATCTCACACTAAGTAAAAATTCAATGCACATAAAAGGCCCAAAAACCTGGAATTCATTACCTTTGAATATAAAACAAACACTGTCTGTTTATCAATTCAAGACTCTTCTTAAAAACCACTTACTCACCCACAACTAAATAAATACTGAATAACTGTATCTAATAAATGTATAACGTGTGACCCTATCAAACTATTTTTTTTTTTAATTATATTACCTAATAAAACACTCCATTTTCTTGAATGCACAGTAATTCATCTAATGATCATATGACCTGTCTCTGCACTACAAATCATTGATTTTACTCAATTTGATCGGATTATATTATACATTGTTATGCTACAAATTTGCACAACTTTAATACTTCTTATTTGAAATACTCATTTGTACTTCATGTTGTAATTTGTTTACTGTGATTTTTACCACTAAATACTATATCATTGCTTAGTTAATCTTTAGTTAATTTTAAGCATGCCCATAATACTCTGCATACAAGGGGCTTTTGGCATTTACACCTAATCACTAAATTTCTTTGTACAACTATGTATCATGTCCAAATAAAAAAAAATAAATAAAAAGTAAGTTCAGGAAAACCAGCTATTTTTATATAGCCGGACTTGAGTCCTGGAAATGGGAAGTACAATGCCTGCACTTTAAAGGAGGGGTTTTGGGATACTGGCAGTTTGCAGGGAAGGTTAGCATAGGCACCACTGTGACCACAAATGCAAGTTTTTACAGACGAATCTCCAGCTAGCGTGGCCGTGACAAACTCTAGCTCAAGTCCCCTCACTACCGTCAACATGACTCACGAAATCGTCTGTAAAAACTTGCATTTGTGGTCACAGTGGTGCCTATGCTAACCTTCCTATGGTATAGAAATATACCTAGTTGGACAAATCTTATTGTGGCTAGCTGGTCCAGTGGCTAACGCGACGGTCTGGAGTTTTGAGACTCTCTGACCACGGGTTCAAATCCCGCCCGTGGTATGGTTTAACTGAACACTTGTTGGGGAGGAATCCTTCAGCCTCTACATACCCCTTGAACTCCTGCACAAATTTTTCAGCTGCACATTTATCAGAACTTGCAGCCTCCCCATGCCTTACCACACTGTGTATGCCACTACACTAATTAAATCTCTCAAACCAGCCTTTGCTGGCCATAAATTCACTAACAGCAGCACTTGTTCCAGGCATTTTCTTTACAAGATCCACATGCAACTGCCTTGCCTTCTCACAAATCATCAACTCCACAATGCTCTCTCTTGCTAATTGTTTTTCTGTGATCCACAAAACCAACAACTTCTCCAGATCTTCCATTATCAGTGACCTTTGTTTGGTTGGCACATTTTCTCCTTTTGCCACATCACCTTCCTTGATTTGTTCTTTCATTGCCAGGATAGAAGTGATTGTTGATTTGTTTTTCCCATACATCCTGGCGAGTTCTAGCACTCAAAAACCACTCTCAAACTTTTCAACAACTTTCTTAACCCTTTCAGGGTCGAGAGGCCCTTTCCTAAACTTGTTCTCAGGGTTGAAAATTTTTCAGAAAAAAAAAATTATTTTTTCTTATGAAACAATAGAGAATCTTTTCCCAATCATAATGACACCAAAAGTTTGAAATTTGATGGAAAACTTACAGAATTATGCTCTCGCGAAGTTAGCGGTCTCGCCGATGTTTACGCATTGGGGATTTCGCCCACTTTGAGCCCTATTTTTGGCCAATTCCTGTGTACTAGTCGACAAAAACCATATTTATTTCGCTAGAACTCCATTTTTTCTATCAAATGACTACAAGAAACCACCCATTTACCAATTTCAAGTATCCAATAAAGTGGTTAGAAATTGGCAAATTTGCCAATTTCACACAAATTTCACATGCCAATTTCCAAATAGTGTCCAGAATAAACAAGACAGACATTCCTGGCACTAAAATAACAAGTTCTCTGTTCGTTGGTCACATCCCCAGGCCCCTCTTATATTTCTTTTTCTTTCCACTTTGAATTTTTATTCTTACAAAAAATAGAAGATTTACTGTTATGCAGACTACTGCATTAGTGTAGAAATGGTATAAATAATGTCAGTGCACTTGTGAAAGAATATTAGACTCACCAGTTGACGTGCATTGGACACTTGGCATGATTTATTTACTTTTGAACTTTGGTAAAAATCAAACATTTCTGCTACTTTGAGCTCAATTTCAAGGTACTTTTCATTGTGAAACCAATCAAAATCATCTCAATTTCTGTAATGTGTCTTCCATTCTATAAAATGAAACCAGGAAAAGTAGAATACAACAATAAATACCATACAAAAATACAGTGCAGAGTCGCTGTTTTATTCCAAAAACACGGTCAAAGTTTTTTTTTTCTCATTACGCACTGTGTGCTGCAGGATTTTTTATACTGCGCACACTGACCACATAGACCCATTCTTTCATATGTATGCCTACCAGCTTTCTCCCACTAGATTTGAGGGCGCTAGAATTTAGGCGTACTAGTACGTCGAAAACCCTGGGTCATAAGCCGTACTAGTACGTCAAAAAACCTGAAAAGGTTAAATTCCATCTTGTTTCTCACTTTCTTTACCAAAGGAACTTTACTAGGAACTTTCTTTGGGGCCATGGTTACCTATTTTGCAGTTGCTAACCACAAAGAACAGTTGATTACACCCAAATGTTTGGATGAATGAGCAGAAGCTTCCTCACTCACAAAGAGACAAAGCCAAACTGACGCACGACTGGCTGGCAGCGGCAGGTTGATGCATACCACATGGCCGATAAGCGAAATAACGGCTGATAACAGGAAGCTAAAAAAAATGGCCGATAAGAGAGTTGGCCGATAAGCAGAACGGCTGATAACTGAGGGCCCATTGTATTATTATAATCATAATAAAAAAGAAGCGCGAAATCCACAAGGGTCATGGATAGATAGAGTGAAGGCATACAAAAGGAATATTTTTCTACAGTTATCCCCCAGTAACTGGTGTTTGACTAGAGAAAATCTAATTCTTCCGACACTCCTACAAACCGCTTGGTAAACACATCTCATATTTTTGTCAATCTTAATACTGTGGGTGTATGTATCATGTTTATGTGTTACGTAATATGTTTCTTATATAATTTTGAGCAAATAAATTTCATAGATGGATTGTAGATGAATGGTTCAAAGAACCGACATGTGTCTAATTTAACATAGATGGATTAATGGAAATGTCTATATTAACGTAATATACAACATTTAATGCGCCCAAGAGATTATTAATATGGCGTCTTCAAGAGTAGAGAGACTCTTAATAATTTTAATGACTACCTGCACACCAGCACAGTGTGTAGGTATATTTAGGTACAGGTACACATATAAGTATAATTATCAGAGTACATATCAAATATGTAATAGCTTTAAAACACTTGAAATTTTGGAAAGTTTCCATAGTAGAGTGATGTGCTCATGGAGAATGTAAACAAATTGGGTGGGGTGCGCTGTATTAGAAAGACAGGGAGCCATATGGCGAGTTTTGGTCATAAGTTGAAATCACCGTATTAGCAGAATGCCGTAAGGCGAAACGCCATAAAGCAGGGCCCTACTGTATACACATACACACCTCTGGATTTTCTTCTATTTCCTTACTGGTTCTTGTTTGTTTATTTCCTCTTATCTCCATGGGGAAGTGAAACAGAATTCTTCCTCTGTAAGTCATGCGTGTCATAAGAGGTGACTAAAATGCTGGGAGCAAGGGGCTAGTAACCCCTTCTCTTGCATAAATTACTGAATTTAAAAAGAGAAACTTTCATTTTTCTTTTTAGGTCACCTGCCTTGGTGGGATATGGCCGGCTTGTTGAAAAAAAAAAATTATATGTTTGATATTTTTCAGTGATATCTACAAGAGCAACAATATAATAGATAATTTCAGCATCATACTTGATAACCTGTTCCGTCCATTGTTTGAAGTGACCATCAACCCCAGTAGTCATCTAGAACTTCATGCCTTCTTGCAGTATGTACAACTTAATATATTACTGTACTGCTATCCCTACAAATTTGTAATCCTTTACACTAAATTATGTCATATAATTTTTTTGGGTGCCTGTTTTGTTTTGGCTTGATGGATGGTCTGTGAATTGAAAATCATCCATGTTATCTGAGAAATAGAGTAAAACTCAGATTTTTTGTGTGATGATGGATTCAGACTGGAAAGCAGTTGTTCTATAGGAGAAGCCTGAAGACATGATTTATTAATAAAGATAATGTTACTTTAGTGGCAGGAATGCCAACAGTGTTCATTTTGGATTCTATTATTAAATTGCAGTTGGTCAAATTTTGTGCAAAAATTAGCCAAATTACTAACTGTTGTTCACTTTATAGAATAGTCCAGATTGTTGAATGGGCAGTTTCTTGATAGAATGAAAGGCGGCTAGCACAATAGGAATTGGGTCCAATTGAGCCATGGAATTGGCTTCAAACGTAATTCAAAGTGGGTGAAGTTGCCACTGCATAAGTTGTGTCCAGACCACCAAATTTGGGCTTGTGTAATTCCATATACATGTATTTTTCACCAAATTCTGCATTTTTGCTGCCTTTTTTTTTTTTTTTCTTTTTTTTTCAGAAAAATATATTCTTCCATTTCAGAAGATAAAATTATTTATTTTATATTCTTAAAAAACTGCAACACTCTCAGCACTTTTAACCCTTAACCCTTTCAGGGTCCAGAGGCCAAATCTCAGAATGACAGCCAGGGTCCAAGAATTTTTGAAAAAAAAAAAAAAAAAAAATTCTTACAGAATTAAAGATAATATTTTTCTATAGTTAATAAAACAAAAAAAAATTCTGATCAGTAGTTTCCAAGATTTAGAGGTGTGAAGTTGACAATCAATGACCGAGTGGCAGCAACATCCGCGTCTTCCGTAAAGTCGCATTTTTTTTATTTTACTGTTTTTGTTCCTTTTTCTTTTCTAATTTTGTTTTTGCCAGTAACGTTTGTGGCCTGTGACACCAATATAATGCATAATATATATACGTATGTACACTTGTATTCAACACAATAACCACACTAATATTTTCATCATTATTTTGTTTACAATAATTGTTTACAACAAAAAACATGCAAAAATATTGTATATTAATAATGTTCTATTATATATTTACATATGTACAGTCTCTGGACATGTTCCTAGAACAGATACAGTCTGTGAAAGTCTTTGAAATAAGGTGTCATGCACAGAGGTGTCATACTCATCTGTGGACCAGTATGATTTTATATTATGCTTATAGACATGAGGCATAAGCATTATTGTTGTAAAAAACAAATACATTTCAGCCACAGTCATCTATTTCCACCAGTGGATGACAATGCACTTTGTCCTGGAACTACTGAGTCAGCGGCTTGGGACCCAGACTCTCTTCCAGTCTGGGCTGGTGCTGCATGCTGCACACATGCATGCTTGCATTCTTGTGGCATCACCACTACCTACTGACGCATGTGGTCTATCCATCCCAATTATAGCCACATCATTGCCACTTTCACTGTCTATTCCAGGTGTAGGGCCACAGGATGTACTCAGTCCCCTTGGAACTGCATATGTTATAGGGTACAGGGACATTGTACCATATGGTACAGGGACCCTAATGGAAATAAGCCACTTTGTCTGACCTTTTTTGGGTTATCCTAGGAGATTTACACATATGCTGCTATGCATGATAATCTTGTAACTGTATTTGTGTATACCTGAATAAACCTACTCGAGCACATGTGGCGTCATAAGTAAGTTAATTCAGGTATACACAAATAAGGTTACATAGATTATCATACATAGCAGTATATGTGTGGAGAACCTAGGATAACCCAAAAAAGCCGGACAAAGTGACTTATTTCCATTAGGGTCCCTGTACCCTGTACCATATGGTATAATGTACCATATGGTATAATGTACCATATGGTATAATGTACCATATGGTATAATGTACCATATGGTATAATGTACCATATGGTATAATGTACCATATGGTATAATGTACCATATGGTATAATGTACCATATGGTATAATGTACCATATGGTACATTGTACCATATTGTACCATATTGTACCATTGTACCATATGGTACAATTGTACCATACGGTACATTGTACCATATGGTACAATGTACCATATGGTTCAGAACCATGGAATTCCTCTTCAGATACACTTCCATCAGTTCAAATTCAAATTCAAATCTTTATTTCTTTGCATAGTTTACAATGTATGACTAACATGTTATAAGGAATCTGTTTCCATGCATAGTTTACAATGTGTAATTATAATATTGATTTGCTAAGTGCAAAGAAAGCCACTATCATGCTGAGGCATTTCGGGCAGACTAAACCTAATGCTTTACAGACTACTTAATACTAGACATATATATCATAGTTGATTCGAATTGAATATTGTTTTTTTATATATCAACAGAGGTAGTAGCAGTTTTATAGTAATTAAATTAACAAGTAGTTGAATAACAAGTTACAGAATTATATTTTAGCATATTACACATAATGAGAATGAGACAAATTTTAGTTTTGAAATAATCTTATAAAATTTGGCAATTTTTAAGTTGATGGTGGTGATAGTATATAGTGTTTGTGTTGTTAGTTTTGGGAGATGAGGTGATTTCTAAGTAGTGCCTTGAATTGGTGTGTAGGCAGTGTTATAACTATAACTTGGGAAGAGGAAAGTCAGAATTCGCCAGGGAGTGAGAGCTTCCTTGCTGCCAGGCATGATGAACAAAGTGAACTGAGATGGTGTTCCCCACAATGCAATGCAGGTGCCCTGATTTTTTGTTTACTGCGTACACTGACCATGCAGACCCATTCTCTTAGATGTAGGCCTACCAGCCTTCTCGCTCTAAATTTGAAGATGCTAGAATTTTGGCATAGACCTGCAGCTTGGACCCTGGCTTCAAAGTCGTAGATGTACGGGACAGACCCTGAAAGGATTAAAATGCCACAGGGTTAAAAATAAAAACCTACCATATGATCCAATAAGTTTTGAAAAAGAAAATTGTGTTTTCTTCTGAAATTGATGAGATTATTTTTTCAGTGGTAATAAAACAAATAGAATTGAAATACAAGCAATACTTACATAATTGTGCAGCTGCAAAGTTGGCATTTTTGGCACTCGGACTGGAAATATCGAGTCCTGCCATTCAGTGTGTAAATATGTAAAGAGTACTTCATAACAAAAGTCAAGAAAGGTGGAAGGTGTAACTAAACTAAAAGTGTGCAGGGTTATCTTTTATACTCTAATATTAAGAGGCATATTTTCCAGTTGATAATGATTGCTCAAACCCTACACAAAAACAAGTTTTTTAGAATGGAATAATATTATCACTTACCTATGTCTGTATTTTTTATGATTACTGTAGATATTTATCATATTTTAATTTTTATATTTTATAACTGGAATGTATTCAGCTCATGCTCTTTCTCAGATATGTGATTGGGTTTGATAGTGTGGATGATGAAAGTAAACCTGAAACTTCAGTAATGGACAAAGACACTCTGCCTCCACAACTGTGGTCAAACATGGAGAATCCACCTTATGCCTACTACCTCTACTACATGTAAGATTACAGTTTCTGTTGATTAATTTTCGATTAATCTGTTTAGCACACAAAAAGTCAATTATCTGTATATCCTACATTAGTTTGTCATATTCTCCCATACGTAATGATTTATATATATATATATATATATATATATATATATATATATATATATATATATATATATATATATATATATATATATATATATATATACACACACACACATATATATGAATAAAAATTATTTTCATACCAGGTATGCTAATATGTGCACATTAAATCAACTGAGGTTAGAGCGATCTCTAAACACTTTTGTGTTACGGCCACACTGTGGTGAGGCTGGATCCATTCAGCACTTGGTAACTGGTTTTCTGCTCGCAGAAAATATTTCACATGGTTTACTTCTGCGCAAAGCTCCAGTATTGCAGTTCCTCTACTACCTGGCTCAAGTGAGTTATGATACAATGTAATTTTTCTTTATTATGTTGAAAATTACCCTTCAAACATTTTTAAGATTTTATATCTACATTATAATGAAGAGTTTTTGCTTTTTTTTTTTTTTGCAAATAAATAACATACTGTACTTATTTTCAAATTGTAGATATTAGGGGAAATTTATTTGTGTGCATCCAAAAAGTCTAGAGTTAAGTAGAGTTTCAGGCACAGTTAAACTAGACAAATACAGTGGACCCTCGACCAACGATATTAATCCGTTCCTGAGAGCTCATCGTTAATCGAAATTATCGTTAGTTGAGTTAATTTTCCCCATAAGAAATAATGGAAATCAAATTAATCCGTTCCTGACACCCCAAAGTATTGAAAAAAAAAAATTTTACCACATGAAATATTAATTTTAATACACACAAACTGAAGAAGACATGCACAGTTACATGACACTTACCTTTATTGAAGATCTGGTGATGATTGATGGGATGGGAGGAGGGGAGAGTATTGATGGTGTTAGTGTTTAGAAGGGGAATCCCCTTCCATTAGGACTTGAGGTAGTAAGTCCTTTTCCGGGGTTACTTCCCTTCTTCTTTTAATGCCACTAGGACCAGCTTCAGAGTCACTGGACCTCTGTCGCACAACATATCTGTCCATAGAGGCCTGTACCTCCCGTTCCTTTATGACATTTCTAAAGCGTTTCACAACATTGTCAGTGTACAGGTTGCCAACACGGCTTGCAGTAGCTGTGTGAGGGTGATTTTCATCAAAAAAGGTTTGCACTTTAAGCCACATTGCACACATTTCCTTAATCTTTCAAGTAGGCAACTTCTTCAATTTCTCTATCCCCTCCTCCGAAGCAGTTTCCTCAGGTGTGGCCTCTTGCTGTTGAAGATGATCTCTCAGCTCATCAGTGGTTAGTTCTTCATTGTCCTCCTCCACCAACTCTTCCACATCCTCCCCACTAACCTCCAACCCCAAGGACTTCCCCAATGCCACAATGGATTCCTCAACTGGCATAGGATTCCCAGGGTTAGCCTCAAACCCTTCAAAATCCCTTTTTTCTACACATTCTGGCCACAGTTTTTTCCAAGCAGAGTTCAAGGTCCTCTTAGTCACTTCCTCCCAAGCCTTACCTATAATGTTTACACAATTAAGGATGCTAAAGTGATCTCTCCAAAACTCTCTTAGAGTCAGTTGAGTTTCTGAGGTCACTACAAAGCACCTTTCAAACATAGCTTTTGTGTACAGTTTCTTAAAGTTTGCAATGACCTGCTGGTCCATGGGCTGCAGGAGAGGAGTGGTATTAGGAGGCAAAAACTTCAGCTTAATGAAGCTCATGTCCGCAGAAAGTCGCTCTGCCACGTCTGAAGGATGACCAGGAGCATTGTCTAATACCAGGAGGCACTTAAGGTCCAATTTATTTTCCAGGAGATAATTTTTTACAGTGGGGGCAAATGCATGGTGTAACCAGGCATAGAAAAAGTCCCTAGTGACCCATGCCTTACTGTTTGCCCTCCACAGCACACACAAATTAGCCTTGAGGACATTGTTTTTCCTGAACACTCTTGGAGTTTCAGAGTGATACACCAATAAAGGCTTCACTTTGCAATCACCACTAGCATTGGCACACATCAACAGAGTAAGCCTGTCTTTCATAGGCTTATGTTCTGGGAGTGCCTTTTCCTCCTGAGTAATGTAGGTCCTGCTTGGCATTTTCTTCCAAAACAGGACTGTTTCATCACAATTAAACACTTGTTCAGGTTTCAGTCCTTCACTGTCTATGTACTCCTTGAATTCCTGCACATATTTTTCAGCCGCTTTGTGGTCCGAACTGGCAGCCTCACCATGCCTTATCACACTATGTATGCCACTACGATTCTTAAATCTCTCAAACCAACCTTTGCTGGCCTTAAATTCACTCACATCATCACTAGTTGCTGGCATTTTTTTAACTAAATCGTCTTGCAACTTCCTAGCCTTTTCACATATGATTGCTTGAGAGATGCTATCTCCTGCTATATGTTTTTCATTTATCCACACCAATAACAGTCTCTCAACATCTTCTATCACTTGCAATCTCAGTTTCGAAAACATAGTTGCACCTTTGGCAAGAACAGCTTCCTTGATTGCCGTTTTCTTGCCCACAATAGTAGCGATGGTTGATTGGGGCTTTGTGTACAACCTGGCCAGCTTGGAGACACGCACTCCACTTTCATACTTAGCAATGATGTCTTTCCTCATATCCATAGTAATTCTCACCCTTTTTGCTGTAGGGTTGGCACTAGAAGCTTTCTTGGGGCCCATGGTGACTTATTTTGCAGGTGCAATCACTACAAACGCTGTGATAATATGAAATGTTCCGATTGTATGTTTGGATGGGACTGCTGTGGCTGGCTGTCTTGTAAACGCCTGCACCCACGGGACAAGTGAGGCGCGCTCAGGCCACAACTGGATGCGTCTTGAACAGAACGAATAGCGTTGGTCAGGTTTTTTAGCGCTAGTCGAGGCAAAATTTTTGTGTTAAAATGTATCGCTAGTCGGATTTAACGTTAGACGATGCCAACGTTGGTCGAGGGTCCACTGTATCTCCAACAAATGCCTGATCATTCAGGCCTTGAAAGGTATGTGGACCAGCGGGCCACCAGCAGCAACAGACTGGTTCACCAGGCAAGCACCAGACAAGCCTGGCCCTGGGACAGGCTCTGGGAGTAGAGAAACTCCTGAAGTACAGTCATACCCCGCTTTACGTCATTTCAGCCTGTGTCAAATTCGCCCTTATGTCACTTTTCTAGAGTAAATTTCAGTTCAGTAAGTGTCATTAACATCTGACTTTACGTCACTCAGCAACATCACCTACATCATAATAAAAGGACGTGAAATAAATAAATTTTTAATTAAAATACAGTGGACCCCCGCTTAACGATCACCTCCCAATGCGACCAGTTATGTAAGTGTATTTATGTAAGTGCGTTTGTATGTGTATGTTTGCGGGTCTGAAATGGACTAATCGACTTCACAATATTCCTTATGGGAACAAATTCGGTCAGTACTGGCACCTGAACATCCTTCTGGAATGAAAAAATATCGTGAACCGGGGGTCCACTGTATACAGTAGGACCCCCGTATCCGTGGTGGATACATTCCAAGGACCTGCCGTGGATACCAAAACTGTGGATAGTAGCAAAACCTATATGTAAGTCCTATACATACCTATTATAAAGTTTAACTGATAAATTATGCATAATAAGTGGAGAATTATCACTTTTTCACTGATGGGAAGCACTTCACAGCTTCTCTTAGTCTTTGAAGAATTGCCAATTTTTCTGCCTTTGCAAAATTATGAGGTATTTTTGGACACTGGATAACTGAAACCATGAATACCAAATCGATACAGGGGTTCTACTGTATTTGAAATAAATATAACACATAAAAAATAACAATAAAAGATAAAAGAAGCTTAAAAAGAATTTAATTCCTTTTTTGTCACTTTCAGCATGTGTGCTGACTGAGTGCTATGATTGCTTCGCAGATACTACAAGATATGGCATTTAAAATATAAAAGCACAATCCACAAACACAGCTAGCTCCTAGACACTTACGAACAGAATGCTGGGATGGGGAAGGTGGTATATCTTTCCTGTGGAGACAGTGGTCTCACTCACAGCAAGGCAGTGACCTGAGCTAGGGAAATATCCCTTGGGCGATGCTTCAGATTTTTTCCCCTCCCACAAACCAAACCATGTTAAATTAATTTTATGAAGGGTTGTATGGAATTTTGCCACAATTTTTCAGTAGTGTAATATCCAAAACGTGTCAAACAAATCTGTATAATATAAGGGTTTACTGTATTTTTAAGGCATTACATCTGGTTTACGTCAAAAACCAGGTTACATCATGGTTCTTGGAACTAATTAATGACATATGACTGGGTATGACTGTATATCAAAAACATGTCAAAGTGCAAGACTATTAGGATAGCATTTTGCTCATGCATAACAAAATGTCTTAAATCTTTGTGTTTTAAGTATCTTAGTATTACCCTCAGAGGGCTGAGGAGGGGTTGTTGAGGTGGTTTGGTCATTTAGAAAGGATTGAGCAAAATAGGATGACTTGCAGGGTGTATAAATCTGTAGTGGAGGGAAGAAGGGGTAGGGGTCATACTAGGAAAGAATGGAGGGAGGGGGTAAAAGAGGTTTTGTGTGCAAGGGGCTTGGACATAAAGCAGGCATGTGTCAGCATGTTCGATAGGAGTAAGTGGAGACTAATGGTTGTTAGGACTTGATGAGCTGTTGGAGTGTGGGCAGGGATTCAGGGAAACTGGTTAGCCAGACTTGAGTTCTGGGCATGGGAACTACAATGCCTGCACTTTAAAGGAGGGGGTTAGGATATTTGCCATTTGGAGTGACTTCTGAACTGTTGTATCTGCGTGCCTCTGCAAAGACAGTGATTATTGTGATTGTTGGTGAAAGTGTTTCTTTTTTGAGCTACCCTGCCTTGGTGGGAGATGGCCAGCATGTTGGAAAAAAAAAAAATCATTCTGCCTACCAGTTACTTAGAAGGATGGGTAAGGGAGGTGGAGGTCAGTAGATCATCTGATTTATGATGTCCATTCATTTATTCGTAAAGACAGTTATGGATTGAATGATGGTTATGTTTTATTCTCTGAATTTCCCTACCTTGATCAGAAAATGTTAATGTGTTAAAAAATTGTAATATTATTATTTAACTAAGCTTTTTACTTTACAGATTGGTATAGCTATGTCACCTCTCTCCAATAATTCACTATTCCTGAACTACCATCGCAACCCTTTGCCAGAGTATTTGGCACGAGGCCTCTTAATATCTTTATCCACTGATGATCCACTCCAGTTCCACTTCACTAAAGAACCTCTCATGGAAGAATATTCTATTGCAACCCAAGTTTGGAAGCTCTCCCAAACTGATATGTGTGAACTGGCCAGAAACTCTGTTCTCATGAGTGGCTTTGAACATGAGGTATGATTTGCCTAGTTTTTAGTTTTTGATGTTGAACAAACCGTTAAAAAAACATGTTTGTCATTGAGTTTAGTGAGCACTGCTAGGTCATTATTTCGGACTTTGGTATCTTATATCTAGGAAAAGTTGAATTTAATAACCCTTTGACTGTTTTGGTCGTATATATACGTCTTACGAACCAGTGTGTTTGACGTATGTATGCTCCAAAAGTCTAGTGGCTTCAAATCAAGCGGGAGAAAGCTAGTAGGCCCATATGTGAGAGAATGGGTCTGTGTGGTCAGTGTGCACAGTATAAAAAATCCTGCAGCACGCAGTGCATGAGAAAAAAAAAACTCCAACCATGTTTTTGGATTAAAATGCCAAATTTGAGGTGTATTTTCAAATAGTATTTATGGTTGTATTCTTGTTTTCTTGGTCTCATTTGATAGAATGGAAGACATTATAGAAACAAAAATGATTTTGATTGGTTTCATGATGAAAAGTACCTTGAAATTGAGCTAAAATAAGAGGAAATGTTCAATTTTTGCCGACATTCAAGAGTATGCAATGTCCAATGAATGTTCAACTAGCCAGTCTGATATGCAGTCATGAATGGGTTGACATTATTTATACAATTATTACAATAATGCAGTAGTCTGTATAACAGTAAATCTTCTATTTTTTGTGTGAATAAAAATTCAAAATAGAAAGCAAGAGTAATATAAGAGGGGCCTGGAGATGTGACTGATGAGCAGAGAAAATGTTATTTTAGTGCCAGGAATGTCTGCATTGTTCATTCTGGACCCTATTTTGAAATTGGCATCTTTTTTAATTTGCGTGAAATTGGCCAGATTGCCAATTTCTGACCACTTTATTGGGTAGTTGAAATCGGTAAATGGGTGGTTTCTTGTACTCAGTCGATAGACCAAATGGAGTTCTAAAGAAATAGCTATGAGTTTGGTCGACTGGAACAACAGAATTGGCCAAAAATAGGGTTCAGAGTGGGTGAAATCGCCAATGCGTAAATATCTCTGAGATCGCTAACTTCGTAAGAGCATAATTATGTAAGTTTTCCATCAAATTTCATAATTTTGGTGTCATTACCATTGGGAAAAGATTCTCTATCATTTCATAAGATTTTTTTTTTTTTTTTTTTTTTTTTTGCGACACAGAGAGACACTTTAGGATTGGGGGTTGCGACAGTCAAAGGGTTAAATATTCTTGAACATCACACTCTTTAGTGAGCACCACACACTGTGGCAAATACCACATTCTGCAATGAACACCACACTGTAGTAAACTGTTCTTTGTAGTGAACATTATGCTCTGTAATGATCACTATTTTCCGTAGCCTTTTCCAAGTCCAGACCCCCTGATCTGAAGCATGGTCCAAGAATTAAAAAAAAAAAATATTTTTTCTTGTGAAATGGTAGAGAATCATTTTCTGAAGATAATAAAACAAAAAGTACGAAATTTGATGGAAAATTGATGAAATTACGCTATCACGAATTTTGCTGTGTCAATGTCATGTGGGTTTTCGATACGTGGATGGGGTAAGAATACTCAAGTAGGCTGGTAGTACGTATAATATATATCGGGAAGTATGGGAAGCGCCAACAGCCGACCTGTCTCTCTCTGCTGCCTACTACGACTGACCCATAGTGCCTACAGGTGAGGGTGTTTGAAATCCTGCTATGGTCAGCAGCAATATGAATACAGTCAATGATTCACACAAACGGTTGGTAGTGAGTCATCTACTGGTACACTGGTTACTGGTAACTGGTTGCTAGGAACTGGTACTACTACTGAGAGCTCGGCGACGCTAACGTATGTCGTCCCGACATACAACTAATACAAACTAGAGACGGCAGGTGTACGGCTTGGGCTGATTCTATACAATGTCAAAGTACACAACAATTGAACATTATAACATACATAAATAGAATATTGGAATGGAAGCTTATGTAATTGAAACTTCAATGAAACTGTAATGAAATACAAGGTATAATATAGCACAACTCATCGAATGAAACTCAACGTTGGGATTACACAATAGAAGTGATAAAAAAAAATTTGATCGATCGATCTATATTCATGTGATCTACGGATTCTGAGGAAGGAATATATACAAAGAAAGAAGTGTTTAACAGAAAGGCAGATTCGGTGCACTCAAATCTAGACTGTTAACTCTCAGAATTCGGAGAGAACGTGAACACAAAAAAAAAATTCTTGAATACTGATAAGTTGATACTGTAATTATTCATCTATACAGGTTATTTACATTTAACCCCAACTCTGCTAGGGTGAGATTGACATATGCAGAGTGCTTCCCATACTTCCCGATACATATTATACGTACTACCAGCCTACGTGAGTATTCTTACCCCATCCACGTATCGAAAACCCACATGACATCAGCAGTATTTATGCACTGGTGATGCACACTATTGGGAGGTGATCGTTAAGCAGGGGTCCACTGTATACCTTCTATTTTATCTGAATACAAGAAACTAATTCAAGTGATCAGAAATTGGCAATTTGGCCAGTTTCACACAAATTTCAAAATAGGGTTCAGAATAAACAATACAGGCATTCCTGGCACTAAAATAACATTTCCTCTGTTCATTAGTTATGCTCCCAGGCTTTACACATGAATTCCATTTTTAATTTTTATTCACAAAAAATATATTTTCTGTCATGCATTATTGTAATAATTGTATAAATAATGTCACCGCATTTGTGAACGCATGTTAGACTGACAAGTGGATGTGTATTAGACAAGTTACGTAATCTGTTTACTCTGGAATATCAGCAAAAATCAAGTATTTTTGTTAGTTTGAGCTCAATTTCAAGCTATTTTCAGTTCTTAAACCAATCAAAATCATCTCTATTTCTGTAATATATCTTCATTTCTATCAAATGAGACCAAGAAACTGTGAATACAACCATAAAAAACATACAAAATACACAGCAAAATTGCAGTTTTAAATAAAAAACATGGTCACAGTTTTTTCTCATTATGCACTGCATGCTGCAGGATTTTTTTTATATGGTGCACACTTGCCACACACCAGTTGTTTCATTTCTAGTCTCAAATTTATAGCTCACAGCTCATCTGAGTGAGCTGAGCTCATGGCATAGAACTACTGCACTGACACAAAAGAGGGTAGTGAACATTATGCTCTGTAGTGAACACTGTGCTCTGTAGTGAACACTATGTAGTGAGCACTATGCTCTGTAGTGAACACTGTGCTCTATAGTGTGTAGCAAACACTGAAGTGGAACAAGGTTTAGTCACTGAACATGTTGCAGATATGTCTTGTTTCAGCTTGGTCAGGGTGATATTTTTCAACAAAAGTTTGCAACTTATTCCACTTTGCACACATGTCCTTAATCACTGAAGAAGGCACCTTCTCCCGTCTCTCTTCCTCCTCCTCCTCTGAAGCAGTTTCCTCAGCTGCAGTCTGTTGAAGGTCTTGCAACTCTTCAGTAGTTAGCTCTTCCCTGTGGTCCTCCACCAACTCTTCCACATCCTGGCCACTCACATCCAACCCCATGGACTTCCCCAAAGACATGATACATTCCACAACAAGCATAGGGTCAACAGGGTCAGCCTCAAACTCTTCAAAATCTTTGTCGAGGACACTTTCTGACCACAGTTTTCTCCAAGCAGAGTTCATAGTCCTGGAAGTCACTTCCTTTGGGCCCATAGTGGCTTATTTCACATTCACAATCAATAAACAAGCACTAAAATTGCAAAATGTTTTCGATGAATACTCACAAAACCAGTGATAGAGCCAGGCTGAAGCGGTGTCCCGGCGGGTGGACGCATCTGATATGTGCGATTCCCGGGACAAGGTCCAAAATTTGAAGCAAAATTTTGCACAAAAAAGTGTGTGAAATCCGAAAAGTCCGTTATCCGGTGCGTGCGAAATCCAGGGTTCCACTGTATTTCCAGTCATGGTATTGTGCCTTTTTATTCTTTATAAATTATAGACTTTAAGGTGAGATGTGGCCCCTGAAATGCATATTAACAGCATTGTTTTATTTCAGATCAAACAGTTTTGGATTGGACCCAATTACACACGTGAAGGTGTGGCTGGAAATGACATTAAGCGGACCAATGTTCCCAACATCCGTGTGGCTTACAGGTACATATTTTTCATTTCCCTTAATCTTTCACATTTAAATATTGAAATTATAGTAATAAACTAATTTTGGGACCTGACAATCTGTTGGAGTGTGAGCAGGGTAATATTTAGTGAAGGGATTCAGGGAAACCAGTTATTTTTATATAGCCGGACTTGAGTCCTGGAAATGGGAAGTACAATGCCTGCACTCTAAAGGAGGGGTTTGGGATATTGGCAGTTTGGAGGGATATTTTGTGTATCTTTATACGTATATGCTTCTAAACTGTTGTATTTTGAGCACCTCTGCAAAAACAGTGATTATGTGTGAGTGAGGTGAAAGTGTTGAATGATGATGAAAGTATTTTCTTTTTGGGATTTTCTTTCTTTTTGAGTCACCTTGCCTCGGTGGGAGACGGCCGACTTGTTAAAAAAAAATGTAAATTAATGTAAAAATATGAGAAAAAAAGGTATATCAGCAACATTTCTGCATGCAGCAGGACTCCATGTTATCGTCAGGTGAACATCCAGCACCAGCTTTGCAGCCTTATATCTCAGTAATTACTGGAACTAAAATTTTTTTGGTCTTATTAAACATAGAAAATTGCCCTCTTTATTTAAAAAGAAAATTTTAAGTATTCAGAGTGCTAGCAGTGAAAATGTAGATCAATGTTTGGGCAGTTTAAGGGTTAAGGGGTTAAATATGAGGAGAAATCTGTAAAAAATATCAGTCTTCAAATTTTGTCAAAAACAAACAACTTTCTTCCAAACACTCAACAAATTGTTCAAGAGAGAAGCCTACTAATCCAATGAACATTGTTGTACGTAAGTAGTCCAGTGTAGACCATTGAACATTGTTATACATATGTAGTCCTATGTACACAATGAAAATTGTTGTACATAAGTACAGGTCTCTCTCCACACTCGTGAGTTCCACTTTCACAGGCTTTGAACATTCGCGAATGCCCAGCCACCCAATCATGATGTGTATATATAATATTTTATGATGTTTTCATGTGTTTTATGATTGTTCGTGGTTCAACAGGTTAAGGAAGCAGTACTGTTTGGCTAAGTAAATGCTGTTATTATACAGTGGACCCCAGGTATTCGATATTAATCCATTCCTGAGAGCTCATCGAATACCGAAAATATTGAAAAGCGAATCAATTTTCCTCATAAGAAATAATGGAAATCAAATTAATCCGTGCAAGACACCCAAAAGTATGAAAAAAAAAAATTTACCACATGAAATATTAAGTTTAATGCAATAGAATAATTACAATAACAACAATAACAATAGAATAATTGACACTTACCTTTAATGAAGATCTGGTGATGATTGATGGGATGGGAGGAGAGGAGAGGTGTTAGTGTTTAGAAGGGGAATCCCCTTCCATTAGGACTTGAGGTAGTAAGTCCTTTTCCGGGGTTACTTCCCTTCTTCTTTTAATGCCACTAGGACCAGCTTGAGAGTCACTGGACTTTTGTCGCACAACATATCTGTCCATAGTGGCCTGTACCTCCCATTCCTTTATGACATTCCTAAAGTGTTTCACAACATTGTCAGTGTAATAGTCACCAGCACGGCTTGCAATAGCTGTGTTAGAGTGATTGTCATCAAAAAAGGTTTGCATTTTAAGCCACATTGCACACATTTCCTTAATCTTTCAAGTAGGCAACTTCTTCAATTTCTCTATCCCCTCCTCCGAAGCAGTTTCCTCAGGTGTGGCCTCTTGCTGTTGAAGATGATCTCTCAGCTCATCAGTGGTTAGTTCTTCATTGTCCTCCTCCACCAACTCTTCCACATCCTCCCCACTAACCTCCAACCCCAAAGACTTCCCCAATGCCATAATGGATTCCTCAACTGGCATAGACTTCTCAGGGTTAGCCTCAAATCCTTCAAAATCCCTTTTGTCTACACATTCTGGCCATAGTTTTTTCCAAGCAGAGTTCAAGGTCCTCTTAGTCACTTCCTCCCAAACCATACCTATAAGGTTTATACAATTGAGGATACTAAAGTGATCCTTCCAAAACTCTTTTAGAGTCAGTTGAGTTTCTGTGGTCACTACAAAGCACTTTTGAAACATAGCTTTTGTGTACAGTTTCTTGAAGTTGGAAATGACCTGCTGGTCCATGGGTTGCAGGAGAGGAGTGGTATTAGGAGGCAAAAACTTGACCTTAATGAAGCTCATGTCCCCAGAGAGTCGCTCTGCCAAGTCTGTCGGATGACCAGGGGCATTGTCTAATACCAGGAGGCACTTAAGGTCTAATTTCTTTTCAATTAGGTAATTTTTCACAGTGGGGGCAAATGCATGGTGTAACCAGTCATAGAAAAAATCCCTAGTGACCCATGCCTTACTGTTTTCCCTCCACAGCACACACAAATTAGCCTTGAGGACATTGTTTTTCCTGAATACTCTGGGAGTTTCAGAGTGATACACCAATAAAGGCTTCACTTTGCAACCACCACTAGCATTGGCACACATCAGCAGAGTAAGCCTGTCTTTCATAGGCTTATGTCCTGGGAGTGCCTTTTCCTCCTATGTAATGTAGGTCCTGCTTGGCATTTTCTTCCAAAACAGGCCTGTTTCGTCGCAATTAAACACTTGTTCAGGTTTAAATTCTTCACTGTCTGTGTAATCCTTGAATTCCCTCACATATTTTTCAGCTGCTTTTTGGTCTGAACTGGCAGCCTTACCATGCCTAATCACACTATATATGCCACTACGATTCTTAAATCTTTCAAACCAACCTTTGCTGGCCTTAAATTCACTCACATCAGCACTAGTTGCAGGCAATTTCTTTACCAAATCGTCATGCAACTGCCTAGCCTTTTCACAAATGATCGCTTGAGAGATGCTATCTCCTACTATCTGTTTTTCATTTATCCACACCAATAACAGTCTCTCAACATTTTCTAACACTTGCTGTCACTGTTTCGTAATCACAGTTGCACCTTTTGCAAGAACAGCTTCCTTGATTGCCATTTTCCTGGTCACTATAGTAGAGATGGTTGATTGGGGTTTACTATACAACCTGACCAGCTCCGACACATGCACTCCACTTTCATACTTTGCAATTATCTCTTTCTTCATTTCAGTAGTCATTAGCACCTTTTTTCTTAAAGGGTTGGCAGTAATAGAATCAGACTAAGTAAAAACTCATAAAACGTACCTGGGGATGTAGGAGGGGCCTTTCATGTTCTCAGGAAAATCTTAAAAAAATCAAGTATATCTGTTACTTTGAGCCTGATTTCAAACTACTTGTGGCCCTGAAACCAACCAAAATCCTCCCTATTTCGGTAGTATGTTTTTCAAATGATACCAAGGAACAGCCAATAAAACCATAAAAACACTTCGAAGTTGCTATTTTTAAACCAAACACAAGGTAAGAGGTTCACTTTTCCCATCGTGCACTGTGTGAGGGCAGAATTTTTTCTATACATTGCACACTCATTGCACAGACTCATTCTCTCATATCTAGGCCAAAATTTATCTGAGAGAGCTGAGCTCAAAACGTAGATCTACTTAAGCAACCCTGGCGCCAGTAACATTGATCTACGTATGAGACAATGAATAAATGCTGCAGTCAGATTATAGATAGCACTTCTGCATTAGAAATATAAAAGCCTCTTACTACTATGTATTCACTTTGCACTCAGGCTAAATGAAATTTACAGTTTTATTAAGGAGATTGTTTTCCATGTAATAACTAGAAAATGCATTTTCTGATAGGCTTTTGTGTCTTATGGACTTCTGTATCTCATCATCCATGTTGCTACCACGTGTATTGCATATGCTGCTAAGAAATTGGGTTGCAAGGTATTCAGACCTTTGATTTCTCACATTTCCTTGACCATTACATTCAGTACTAAATTTTGTCACCAGGAAATACAGAAGAGTAACTCTTGGTTATTTTAATGTTTGGGGCAATAAAACTGTATACTGTACTTCTCTGTGTTCCACAGCTCAAGATCTAATCTAAAGACAGCTTTCATTTTTTTTTTTTTCCAAAATTGTCTCGGTATGTGAGATCACTAGCAGTGTTGCTGGTCTGAGATAACAATTACACGTATTTTAGTCAAACTGCAATTGGGTTTCTGATCATCTTGCTTTCATTGCTGTCACTTATTGGAACCAATACTCTTTTAACTGAGTTTTGGTTACACCAGGCTTAGAATCATCTCATAGACAAGTGCCTAGTGGCAAAATTTTCCAGTCACGCTGATAATCTAACATCTTTTGATGGTCCTGTACAAGAGAAGATGATGGCACAATTTTTTGACTTCTACTTGAATGTGCTAATTCTGCCATCGTGTCTGAAAGTTCAAATTGTACATAACTCACAGTTTTGATATTTAATTCAGATTGTATTTATGTGTAAACATGTTCTTGTGGTAGGCAAAAGAATAATTAGTTTCTTGTAATTTTTCAGACATGAGACACTACTTGATGAGCTGGCGAACATCTTCCAACATCCAAGTGATAAAGAAGAAATTTGAACATGCACAGTGCTGTGAAGTTATGCAGTGTCCAGTTGTTTAACATTTATATACAAAGTTTAGCAGAGCTAACTGATCCATACAGGTTTATAGTGATTATTATATTTAGAAAGTTTATAACCTACCCTAGAATATATTATACCTACGCTTAAGAAATTGTCTTTAATTGAATACAGTAGGGCCCCACTTATACGGCAGGTTAAGTTCCAGGCTACCGCCATAAAGCGGAAAACAAACACACAAACAAACACACACACACACACACACACACACACACACACACACACACACACACACACACACACACACACGGGGCCAGGAGCTCGGACTCGGGGCCAGGAGCTCGGACTCGACCCCTGCAACCTCAACTAGGTGAGTACACACACACACACACACACACACATGCACACACACACACATGCACACACACACACACACACACACACACACACACACACACACACACACACACACACACACACACACACACACACACACACACACACACACACACACACACGGGGCCAGGAGCTCGGACTCGGGGCCAGGAGCTCGGACTCGACCCCTGCAACCTCAACTAGGTGAGTACTAGGTGAGTACACACACACACACACACACACACATGCACACACACACACATGCACACACACACACATGCACACACACACACATGCACACACACACACACGCGCACACACACACACACACACACACACACACACACACACACACACACACACACACACACACACACACACACACACACACACACACACACACACACACACACTGCATATAAATGCCAGCTAACAAGTTTACACTAACATATATAAAAATAGGCATTAAAAAACAATAAAGTAAAATATACATATAGTACACTCATTACTTACCTTAAAATATGTGTAGTCTTAATGTAGGATGAGAGGTGAGTAGTATTTATTGTAGAAGTCAAGTGATAGGTATGGTAGCTCGCCCAGATACCACAACTACACATGGTAGCTCACCCAGATACCACAACTATACAACATTTAAAGTACCCCAGAGCAATAAAATACACAAACATTATACTCATTACTTACCTTAAAATATGTGTAGTCTTAATGCAAGGTGAGAGGTGAATATTTATTGTAGAAAGGTGTGGTAGCTCCCACACCAGCTACCACACCTACAAAAAATATGTGACTTAACCCCTAAATTGTGCAAACGTAGATCTGTGTTTGCACACGTAGTGCTCCGAACATAGATCTGTTTTTTTACATTGTTTCTTATGGAGAAAATTAAGGTCGGAGCTCTACGCGCACAAACGTAGATCTACGTTTGGACAGTTTAAGGGTTAAATTTAAAGCTCCCCAGAGCAATTACTATTTTTTTTTTTTTTTTTCAACAAGTCGGTCGTCTCCCACTGAGGCAGGGTGACCCAAAAAAGAAAGAAAATCCCCAAAAAGAAAATACATTCATCATCATTCAACACTTTCACCACACTCACACATTATCACTGCTTTTGCAGAGGTGCTCAGAATACAACAGTTTAGAAGCATATACGTATAAAGATACACAACATATCCCTCCAAACTGCCAATATCCCAAACCACTCCTTTAAAGTGCAGGCATTGTACTTCCCATTTCCATTCCCATTCCCATTTCAATTACTATTATTATTATTATTATTACCATCAACATACCTTGTTCACTGAGTTTAATCATTTCTAACAAGTACCCATTGATGCCATCGTAAACAAGATGCCGAGAATGTAAACTGTAAACAAACATGAATACGTATTAATACCTGTCCAGTTCTGGTTCATTCACATTTCATTCTGCATACAAATGAAGCTTTTACCATGAATGTTATGAGTGAGAAGAAGCTGGATGTCCTGGCTTTAAGTGAAACAAAGCTGAAGGGGGTGGGAGAGTTTCAGTGGAGAGGAATAAATGGGATTAGGTCAGGGGTTTCAAATAGAGTTAGAGCTAAAGAAGGAGTAGCAATAATGTTGAAGGATAAGATATGGCAGGAAAAGAGGGACTGTAAATGTATTAATTCAAGGATTATGTGGAGTAAAATAAAGGTTGGATGTGAAAAGTGGGTTATAGTAAGCGTATATGCACCTGGAGAAGAGACAAGTGTAGAGGAGAGAGAGAGATTTTGGGAAATGTTGAGTGAATGCGTGGGGAGTTTTGAACCAAGTGTGAGAGTACTTGTGGTTGGGGATTTCAATGCTAAAGTGGGTAAAAATGTTGTGGAGGGAGTAGTAGGTAAATTTGGGGTGCCAGGGGTAAATGTAAATGGGGAGCCTTTAATTGAGCTATGTGTAGAAAGAGATTTGGTAATAAGTAATAAATATTTTATGAAAAAGAGGATAAATAAATATACAAGGTATGATGTAGCACATAATGAAAGTAGTTTGTTAGATTATGTATGGGTGGATAAAAGGTTGATGGGTAGGCTCCAGGATGTACATGTTTATAGAGGGGCAACTGATATATTGGATCATTATTTAGTTGTAGCTACAATTAGAGTAAGAGGTAGATGGGACAAGAGGAAGGTGGCAACAACAAGTAGGAGGGAAGTGAAAGTGTATAAACTAAGGGAGGAGGAAGTTCGGGCGAGATATAAGCGACTATTGGCAGAAAGGTGGGCTAGTGCAAAGATGATTAGTGGGGGGGGGGTTGAGGAGAGTTGGATGCATTTTAAAAATGCAGTATTAGAATGTGTGGCAGAAGTTTGTGATTATAAGAGGGTGGGGGCAGGAGGAAAGAGGAGTGATTGGTGGAATGATGAAGTAAAGGGTGTGATAAAAGAGAAAAAGTTAGCTTATGAGAGGTTTTTACAAAGGAGAAATGTTAAAAGAAGAGCAGAGTATATAGAGAGTAAAAGAAAGGCGAAGAGAGTGGTGAGAGAGTGCAAAAGGAGATCAGATGATAGAGTGGGAGAGGCACTGTCAAGAAATTTTAATGAAAATAAGAAAAAATTTTGGATTGAGTTAAAGAACTTAAGAAAGCCTAGGGAACATGTGGATTTGTCAGTTAAAAACAGAGTAGGGGAGTTAGTAGATGGGGAGAGGGAGGTATTAGGTAGATGGCGAGAATATTTTGAGGAACTTTTAAATGTTGAGGAAGAAAGGGAGGCGGTAATTTCATGCACTGGCCAGGGAGGTATACCATCTTTTAGGAGTGAAGACGAGCAGAATGTAAGTGTGGGAGAGGTACGTGAGGCATTACGTAGAATGAAAGGGGGTAAAGCAGCTGGAACTGATGGGATCATGACAGAAATGTTAAAAGCAGGGGGGGATGTAGTGTTGGAGTGGTTGGTACTGTTGTTTAATAAATGTATGAAAGAGGGGAAGGTACCTAGGGATTGGCGGAGAGCATGTATAGTCCCTTTATATAAAGGGAAGGGGGACAAAAGAGATAGTAAAAATTATAGAGGAATAAGTTTGCCGAGTATACCAGGAAAAGTGTACGGTAGGGTTATAATTGAAAGAATTAGAGGTAAGACAGAATGTAGGATTGCGGATGAGCAAGGAGGTTTCAGAGTGGGTAGGGGATGTGTAGATCAAGTGTTTACATTGAAGCATATATGTGAACAGTATTTAGATAAAGGTAGGGAAGTTTTTATTGCATTTATGGATTTAGAAAAGGCATATGATAGAGTGGATAGGGGAACAATGTGGCAGATGTTGCAAGTACATGGAATAGGTGGTAAGTTACTAAATGCTGTTAAGAGTTTTTGTGAGAATAGCGAGGCTCAGGTTAGGGTGTATAGAAGAGAGGGAGACTACTTCCCGGTAAAAGTAGGTCTTAGACAGGGATGTGTAAAGTCACCATGGTTGTTTAATACATTTATAGATGGGGTTGTAAAAGAAGTAAATGCTAGGGTGTTCGGGAGAGGGGTGGGATTAAATTATGGGGAATCAAATACAAAATGGGAATTGACACAGTTACATTTTGCTGATGATACTGTGCTTATGGGAGATTCTAAAGAGAAATTGCAAAGGTTAGTGGAAGAGTTTGGGAGTGTGTGTAAAGGTAGAAAGTTGAAAGTGAACATAGAAAAGAGTAAGGTTATGAGGGTATCAAATGATTTGGATAAAGAAAAATTGGATATCAAATTGGGGAGAAGGAGTATGGAAGAAGTGAATGTTTTCAGATACTTGGGAGTTGACGTGTCGGCGGATGGATTTATGAAGGATGAGGTTAATCATAGAATTGATGAGGGAAAAAAGGTGAGTGGTGCATTGAGGTATATGTGGAGTCAAAAAACGTTATCTATGGAGGCAAAGGCAAAGAAGAGAATGTATGAAAGTATAGTAGTGCCAACACTCTTATATGGGTGTGAAGCTTGGGTTGTGAATGCAGCAGCGAGGAGGCGGTTGGAGGCAGTGGTGATGTCCTGTCTAAGGGCAATGTGCGGTGTAAATATTATGCAGAAAATTCAGAGTGTGGAAATTAAGAGATGGTGTGGAGTTAATAAAAGTATTAGTCAGAGGGCTGAAGAGGGGTTGTTCAGGTGGTTTGGTCATTTAGAGAGAATGGATCAAAGTAGAATGACATGGAGAGCATTTAAATCTGTAGGAGAAGGAAGGCGGGGTAGGGGTCATCCTCAAAAAGGTTGGAAGGAAGGGGTAAGGGAGGTTTTGTGGGTGAGGGGCTTGGACTTCCAGTGTGTTAGATAGGAGTGAATGGAGACGAATGGTATTTGGGACCTGACGATTTGTTGGTGTGTGAGCAGGGTAATATTTAGTGAAGGGATTCAGGGAAACCGGTTATTTTCATATAGCCGGACTTGAGTCCTGGAAATGGGAAGTATAATGCCTGCACTCTAAAGGAGGGGTTTCGGGATATTAGCAGTTTGGAGGGATATGTTGTGTATCTTTATACGTATATGCTTCTAAACTGTTGTGTTCTGAGCACCTCTGCAAAAACAGTGATAATGTGTGAGTGAGGTGAAAGTGTTGAATGATGATGAAAGTATTTTCTTTTTGGGGATTTTCTTTCTTTTTTGGGTCACCCTGCCTCGGTGGGAGACGGCCGACTTGTTGAAAAAAAAAAAAAATAAACACATTGTGTAAAAGTTGTCTTCATGTTGGTGCAGTAGAATAAATAACAGCAACACTCCCATTTTCGTGCAGCACACCACTTTTAGAGGTAATGACGCTCTGAGCAAAGGCATACAAAAGGAATAATTTTCTACAGTTATCCCCAGTAATACTATTGTTTACACATTTTCTCTGGTGTTGGACTAGAGAAAATATAATTCTCTCCGTCACTCACAACAAGCCACTCAGCTACCACATCTCATATTTGTCAATTTTTTCTACTGTAGGTGAATGTATTATGCTTATATGTTATGTAACATGTTTCTTAAATAATTTTGAAAAAATATCATAGCTGGATTAATGAAAATGCCTATATTAATGTAATATACAACATTTAAAGCACCCCAGTGTTTATTATACGTATTTATTATTAATGTGGCATCTTCAACACTGAGTGAGACACTCTTAGTGATTTTAATGTGTACCTGCACACCAGCACAGTGTGTAAGTTACAGGTACACAAGTATAATTATCAGAGTACAGCCTCTCCTCACTTACTGACGTACTTGTTTACCAACAACTTGGAGTTACGACAGCCTCTCTGATGAGTTGTTATTGTATACTGTACAAAACCTTGGGGTCATGAACGAGCAGTGCAGCATCTCAGCATCAAGCATCTTAATCTCCTTCATACAGTCACTCAGTACACTAGCTTTCACAGTCTCCAAGACTTCATATTTGTGAAAATAAA